TCCAGAGGTTTCCTGAGTGGTCTCTGAGAATGGGATCTAGCCCTCTTCCAGCAGACACATCTGCCCGTCGGGATGTTTGTCCGGATGAAGCAGAACGGACGGGGCTCGGGAGTTTGGGCGAGACAAGTCTGGTGTGGCCTGGCGTGGCTGGACCCTGCCGGAGTGGGGGCGGGTGGAGGCCTGGAGCCAGACGAGGGGTGAGGCCAGGGCAGTGCAAGTGGAATCCCCCAGCCTCGGAGTCCTGAGCTATGACGTGAAGGAAGGATGCTCTGTGATGTCCTTTGTTGGGAATTTAGGCAACAAAATAGAAGAGAGGGAGAGGGTGGGGATGAGGAAGAAAGAAGGCAGGAGCTGGGGAACCGCACAAAGAGTCCCACCAGCACAAGCTGCTATGAGAACCAGGCGGTCCTGGTCCCTGAGAGGGAGAAGCTGTGCTCCTCCAGGGCCCTCACCTCTCTTCCCCTTCGAATGCAGGGCAGCTCTGTCCTCGGGCTCGCGTCGTGATCGGGCTCCTTGTCCTGCGACCCAGAAAGATGGAGTTTTCCGTTGAAGTGATCCCTACCCCAGGGCCCAGCTATTTGAGGCAGCCGGTGCGGATGCTGCCTCGTCTAGGGAGATGAGGGAAATCTTTTGCAGGTCGCTTTTGTGAATAGTTTGAAATGGTTCTGGAAACTTCCCAAGCCTTCTGGGTTCCCAGGTTGCAGGCAAGGAGTCAGTCCTCTCTCTGACACCTGAAACACTGTGTTTTGAACAGAACAGTGTGGTTGCGAGAACAAAGGTCCCTCAGGCCTGTCCACAGCCTGGTCCCCAGGACCAGTGGAATAGGCTACCTTATGGGTTAAAGGAACCAGGCAGACGTGATCAAGGCAAGGGTCTTGAGATGGGCAGGTTATCCTGGCTTTTCCAGGAGGCCCTGATGTCATCAAAACAGTCCCTAACAGAGGAACGTGGGGGTCAGAGTCAAAGGAAGAGTGACATAATGAGAAGCAGAGATCAGGACAGAGAGGCAGAGAGCCCAGGAATGTGGGCGCCTCTAGAAACCAGGAGGGGCAGACGCCCTCTCCACATCCTGGATTTTAGCCCCATAAGACTCATCTTGAACTATGACCTCCAGAACTGTAAGAGAACGAGCTTGGGTGGTTTTAAGTGGTCAGTCAGCAACAGGAAACCCGTACACACGCGGGCACTGGGTTCCGTAAAGGGCAGAGGGAACCGCAGTCTCTGGCCTGAGCACACAGGCAGCAGCAACAGCACTTTTTTTTGGAAATAGAGAAATAGTCCAAGTGACAGTGGAACGTCTGTATCTTTAGGGTTCAAGTCAGAGTCTTCACAACTGCACACACCTGTGTAACCACCGCCCAAAACCACACACAGAACATTCCATCACAACAGACCACGCAGTCACGCCCTTTTGCTGTGAACTCTCACCAGCCCCCCATTTTGAGTTTATTTTTGTATATGGTGTTAAGAGTGTTCTAGTTTCACTCTTTTACAGGTAGCTGTCTAGTTTTCTCAGCACCACTTATCGAAGGGACTGTCTTATCTCTGTTGTATATTCCAGACTCCTTTGTCATAGATTAATTGACCTTAAGTGTGTGGGTTTATTTCTGGACTTTCTATGCTGTTCCATTGATCTATGTTTTGTGCCAGTACCAGACTGCTCTGATTACTGTAGCTTTGTGGTGTAGTCTGACATTAGGGAGCATGATTCCCCCAGCTCTGTTATTTTTTGTCAAGATTGTTTTTGCTCTTCGGGATCCTTTGTGTTTCTGTACAAATTTTAACATTTTTTTGTTCCAGCTTTGTGGAAAATGTCATTGGTAATTTGACAGGGATTGCACTGAATCTGTATATTGCCTTGGGTAGTATGGCCATTTTAACAATATTGATTCTTCCAATCCAAGAACATGGTATATCATTCCATTTTTTTATGTCATCTTCAATTTTTTTTCATCAGCATCTTACAGTTTTCAGAGTACAGGTCTTTCGCCTCCTTGGGTAGGCTTATTCCTAGGTATTTTATTCTTTTTGGTGCTGTAGAGTCTTTAAAGGATAGTTTGATGATAACTACCAAAACTTTAAATGTACCCTTTGACCCAGAAATTCCTTCTGAAAATCTGCTCTGCAGAAATACTCACACAATAATACAAAGGTGCTTGTACAATTATGACTGTTGCTGTATTGTCTATAACATTAAAAACAATTAAATATTTATAAATGGGTAGGTGGTTATACAAGTGCATGATACATCCCTATTACATCATACATTTAAGAAATACAGTAGATTCTAATTGCTGACATAGAAAAGTTGTCCACACTGTCCACATCCATTCTAGGATGGAAAAGTTTGTAGAATAATATGTGTGATTTCCTTTTTGTTTTGAAAACCTTCAACTGCATATGTTTGTATATGCCTAGAAATGGTGAGAAGATAAGCATCAGATGGCTGGTGGTGTTTACCCACTGAGGCTGGGGTTGGGATTGGGGTTGGAGTTGGGGTTGGAGTTGGGTGGGCTGAATAAGTGGGGGTTTCACATTCTTACTTTACATATTTTTGCTGTTGGTTTTTTAACAATCAACTCTTATTTTCCTAATTTTAAATTTGAAAAATTTCAAAACTTCTCTGTGTTAAAAAAAACACACGAATAAAATTTTGAAATCAAACAATAAACCAGAAAAATACTTAAGCCACAGTGACAGATAATGGGTTAATTTGAAAATCTCTTACAAATCAATGAGAAAATGTTGACCACAGTGATGGAAAATAAGTGAAAGTTATAAACTCAAGATATACACACACACAAATATAAGTGCCCATCAATATCCAGGGAAAAGTTCAACCAATAAAATGAAAATTAACAATGAAGTACTTGTTTTCAACCTAACATACTGGCATGGACAAAAAAACAGGAATGTCAAAAAAACAAGTATTTAGAAGCTAGGCTTAAACAGTGTCTGTCCTATACTGGTTGTCCAGGTAAAAGTTAGTTGAACTGAAGGCAATAAACAATACACATCAAAATATCCACATTGTCCTGCAATTCCAGTTCTTAGAATTCATCTCTAGAGAAGAATTGTGGTTGTACTCAGAGATTTAACTACAGGGATATTTATAATGCAAAATATTGGAAACAATGGTTGGTTAAATTATAAAATGAAACCTGTTGCAGCCATTAACATCTAGCTGAATATTTGATGGTGTCCCAGGAAAATTCTGGTTGCTGGGGCCAGTGTAAGTGGGTGGCGTAAGGGGGGGTGAATCCCAGATGGCTAAGGACTAGGCAGAGCTAAGCTGGGCGGCACTGGGGAGTCAAAGACCTTGGAGAGGACACCTCTCCGTGCCTCTGCAGCCACATGGTCTTTAATTTCTGCGCCCTCCATATCAGTTCCCTTCTCTCGCCAGACTGAATTCCTCCGTGATCCTCTTAATTTCTCTTTTCCACTGGTTTCAGCTCCACAGGGTCTGAGAGATGTAGGGTCTCACCCTGTAGGTCCAGCTTGGTCTCTGGCCGCAAAGTTCAATTTCTTGGGGAAAGATTATCTGACCGGCTTATCTGCACTCATGGACTGGCTCTCCCTGGTGGAAAGTGTGATCCGGGCTGTGGCCAGGCCTGGGGCCGACCTCACGGGGCTCTGGGGACAGAGCTTTCGGCTCTTACTGGTCCTGGTGCCCTGGCACCCCGTTGGCGCCCTGAACCCTGACCACGTCTCTGAAAATAGTCCCAGTTTTGGCTCCTCTCCCCTTTCTTTTTCTTATGTATTTCTTTATTATTGAAGTATAGTTGATCCACGATGCTGTATTAGTTTCTGGTGTACAGCACAGATTCCCCTTTAAGACCACCTCTGTCTTACGACCCATGGAGACATGACAGAGGTGCTCCCTGCAGGTCGGCTCCTGGGCCTGAGCTGGTCCTTTCGCACCCTGTGAGGGCAGAGCCCCATGGGCCCAGCCGCCCACCATCCCTGGGGTGTGGAGGAACCGTGAATCAGATGGTGAGGGGTGCTGGGGGCTTCCTTGGCTGCTCAGGCCCCTCCTCTGCTGGAGCAGGAAACCTTCTCTGCCTTGGTGAGCTGTCAGAGTGTCAGATCTACCAGGGGCGGTGGAGGTCATCTACACAAATGCCACTTTGTGTCCTGCAGACGTCAAAGACTCGGGCCAGAGGCTAGGAGGGTTAGATATCTTTTGGAGATGTCTTTCTGTGAGCAGGGAATATGCGTTCCTGCACAATGCCAGTATTCTTGTTTGTTTTTGTTTGTTTGTCTGTTTGTTTGTTTGGGGGGTAATTAGGTTTATTTATTTAGTTGGTTTTAGAGGAGGGATGGGGGATGGAACCCAGGACCTCGTGCATGCTAAGTGGGCGCTCTACCGCTGAGCTCCATTCCCCTCACCTGCCAACATGCTCGATTCCTCTGTGCTTTTATACAATGTACTCTCTGGGACAGAGTTGTGGCAAACAGGCAGAAACCACGACTGCGTGTCTTTGCATGTCCCTGACTCCATGTGAGGTGGGCGTAGTGTGAGAATCAGCCTCAGCCACCTGAAATTTTAAATATTTGGTTAAGGATTTCAAATCTCTTTAATCAAAGACAGTACATGTAAACCTGTACACCTAAAAAAAAAACAAAACATTGATTAGGGAGAAGAATGACTTACTCTTCGGAGTGGAGGTTGGAGAGAAGGAGCCTTCCCGGGGTGGCGAGTCTTGCAGCCCAGCACGACCTTGGCAGCTGTCCCTGCGGGAGGCTGCTGACATCAGAGCCGTGTTTAACCGGGGCATTAAGCAGCTCAGCGGTGCGGGAATTACTTCTGTGATATCATCTATGTTATGCTGCCAGTAAACGTTCTGAAAATACTCTGCTCCGGAAAAGCTGTGTCTGAATGAGAGAAGTCAGTTTTCCAAAATAATTCTCATCAACTCCTGCCCCCAAACAACCTTGTCCTGCAGACCAGAGAGAAATACAAGAAGCAGACCTTGCAAAGGGACACTGCTGAGAATTCAGGTGGAAGGGACCATCTGCTGGTAATGACCATCAAACACAGACACAGATGGATGTCATTAGAGTGATGGGCCATTAACTGAATCCAGAAGTTTCGACTTTTCCCTTTCTCTCTCTCCTTTCCTTTTTCCCTTTCTCCTTCCTTTCTCCCTCCCCTCCCTCCTTTCTTCTCTCTCTCTTTCCTTCTTTCTTCTGTTCTTTCTTCAGTGGAAGAGAATCAAACTGCTTCCATAAGGTTTTCATCTGAAAACGAATGCTGCAGCCTAGAGAATGCAGGATGTTTAAAGACTAAAACTTTGACCAAGTGCAAAATCTGTGCAATGAAGAGACACTTACTGTTCACTCTCACGGTGTAAAGAAAAGGTCTTATCAACCTGTAAAAGGTGGAAAATCAGTTTTAAAAAATTCCGACAATCCCACAAATAGCCTTTTAATCCGCTTGTTGTGGTTCATTAAGCCATTACTTTTGCTTTAAAAGCTGCCCAGAATATTATACGGAGCCTTCATACAGCATTTTTCACAAACCCAGATTGTGAATCTTTGTTGTAAAAAGGTCATTACTTATTTCTTGGAACTGTTTTTCGAAAAAGCCATTCCTATCCATTTTGGCAGGCTCTGTGAAAACACTGCCCTTCCTTGCAAGAACACTTGAACAAAAGTTAGTCTCAAAGTCCAGCTAAGAAGAGTAAGGGACCCAATGGCCTACGAAGCAGATTTACAGCTGGAGGAGGATGACCGAAAAAATAAGCACGAGAAGCTCTCTTTAGCTGATAGAACTCTGTCCCCAGACTTCACTGCTTTGCCTCATAAGTCATTCCTGTACGTTTTCCAACGACCTGGCTAAACAGAGCCCTGGGGTGTCCCGGCTGAAGGGTACGAGACGTTCCAGGTTTGCGTGGCTGGTATTCACTGGTACGCACTGATGGTGGCAGTAAAAACAACCCTCACTCTCAGTGGATGTATTGCAAAAGCCGTCATTTGATCGTCGCTGTGGGTGGCAGCCTGGGCTCTGCCTTTGGCTCCAGGATCTGGGGCCAGAAGCTGGCTGCGTCCTGCCTGTCTCAACATTTTCTGCCTCCCCTGCAGCTGGGCCACCTGCATGGGCACCCAGCCCCAGGCCAGGCCCCGCAGGATCTCAGAGCCCAGTTCTCTCCTTCAGGGCACGAGCTGGTCAGGGGTGGAGGGGCGGAGAGTGGAAGCAGGAGGCTGCGAGGGGATCACAGCCCCCCACTGGCACAGGGCCTCCTCCGAAGAATCTCGAGAGGTCGGGTCCACAGCGGTGCCTGCATGGTGGTTTGCGTGACTCTCAGCCACCGTGGTCCGCGCACATGGTCCACGTGGCCCATGTGGGTCAGGTGTCGCTGCTGCCTCAGGCCCTGAGGGCGGAGGGCAGCACCCAAGGTGGCGACCCTGGCCCCTCCACCGGCTTATGCCACCCTGCCCCCGGGCCTGCGTGGTCCCTGCTCTGAGCCCCGGCAGGACCCCCCCATGGCCCCTCCCCCTACCCGGCCAGCCTCAGGCGCCCAGACAAGCCTGTCTGGCTCCCGTGGCTCTGCCGCCCAGCCGCAGCCGCTGGGAGGTGTGGAAGCCGGCGTGCGGTCAGCTCTGGAGGAGATCGCGTTCTCAGAGTGCAGCCGTTCTAGCCGAAAGGGGACAAGAAAAGACATGGTTGGAAGGTTGCTCTACATTCTGCTGTGAGATTCCAAGCAGTGCCCCAACCTGGAGGAGAAAATGAGCCTGCATCCACGCCTTCCACCACTCTGGGTAACCGGGCAATGTGGAAGCCAGTGTTCCTGGCGGCAGCAGGTGGACCCCAGGCTGCAGCCCCCTGGGCAATGCTGCAGCCACAACACGGGGACACAGAGGCGAGGTGCCCACCGGCCACACAGACAGGCGCCAGGGCTGAGCATTGCGAGTAACACCACGGGGTTGCCTTCTCACGGAGTGGGAGCTAGGACCAGCTAAAGGTACCTGGACGCCGCAGAGAACCTTCCGGAGCACTGACTGGATGACAAGTAGTTGTGGAAGGGCCTCTTCTCCAGCCGTGGCTGTAGACCTTTATCAGTGAACCCACAGGCATCACAGAGGCCCAAGGACTTCGTAATGGCTCCTTCACACCAGCTGTGCACACATCTGTTTGAAGACAAGTTGTGGACAGTTGTCTAGGATGCAGCACCTCCTGGGGGCAGTCCCGGTTTGTCACGGCAAATTCGGAGTTTGAGGAGAACAGGCCCCCGTCACACAGGGCACACTGCTGATGGGAAGTGGGGCAGGACAGCTGCTCCAGAGGGACCTTTGGCAGCTCGCATCAAAATGCCCTTTATTTTACTGTTATTTATAAGAGTGAAGCGATCTAAACGTCCAACAATAGAGGATGGATGAAATAAACTGTAACGGGACTTTTAAATGGAGCTATTAAAATGAAACTGAAGCCCTAAGATCAGCTGTTGTATTTTTAAATTAAAATTGAGTTTACTTTCTTTTCATGAGACTCAGCACCAGAGGATAGGATTTGCAGTAGGTGGTCGTCTCAAGGATTTCCTCCTGGCGTCTCCAGGCATCCGGTATCCTCCTCCTGCCCTCTGCCCCCTCATCGTTAACAGGGCAAGAACACAGGATGCATGTTCTCGGGCAGCGCTGCGACCTGTGTTGGTGGGGTGGGGAGCTGAACCTTGGGATGTGAGACAACGGCAGGAAGTGCCCCTCAGCTCCTGGGCCGCCCCCCAACCCAGGAGGGAATAGGAACGACACCCAGAGAGGCCTGGTGGTGAGGGGGAGCCGGTGGCGGGAGGACAGAGTCCACGGGGGCCCTGCTCTCAGCGGGACTTGGGTGACCCAGGTCTCTGGGGGCCCGTGACTGCCCCTCGCAGCCCTGCTGACCACGGCACCTCGTGATCACTGCCCTGCTAATGCTTTTGAAGAACAACTCTGCTCCGGTTTCAGTATTTACAAATTATTTATTAACTGTTATCGTTTGTTTATTTTAAAAAGTAATTTAAGGTATGAGCTTTTCATGCAGGGTGATGCAAAAGTCTAGAAAGGGTGGTGGTGACAGACACCATGCGTGCACTCTACGCCACTGAGTTATACACATTAGAGAGATAACTTTTGTGCTACGTGTGTTTTACCACAGCCAAAAAAAATACCAAAAAAGAAAAAAATAGGACAAATGCTCGTACGGTTACCACATGGAATGAACAAATGTTAATATTGTGTATATTTTATTCAATGTTAGTTCTAAAAACAAAATATTACCAACTTATAAAGTGAGGCTGAAGTCTTCATTTCAACTGGAGACCCAAGAAAATATGCCTGTGCAAACAATCCCCAGGTCCTTCCAATGAGGAGGGTCACCACAGGGGGGCAAAGGCAGGTGACCATGCACAGAGAGCCACACCAGGCCGGAGCCTGGACGCCCTGGGGAGGAGAGTGAGAGCCCGCTTCCCCTGACGCCCTTCACGGACAGGTGTTGGGAAGAATGGCCACGTCACAAGGGCTGGAAGCCACTGAGGGTTCAGTACTACTGCGGAGGGGCAGCACCCATGCCTGGGGCAGCACTTAGCTGGGTTTGCACTGGCCAGCCCTCCTCTGCCGTGGCACTCTGGCTTCTGTAGGGCCAGCCAGGTGGGTTGGGGAGGCCCCGCCCTCCATCCCTGGAGTCTCTGGCTGTGCTCTTTGCCGCAGCCCCTCCTGGTTCTGCTCCTGGAGCGTCTCTGCACTAGACAGTGGCCAGTGTCCGTGACTCCTCCCCACGACTCTTACTCCACCTGTCAGGAAATCCTTGTTAGGGTTCTGCAAACTGCCCTCCCAACTATCCACGTGGGAGCTGGGAACTAGCCATAGGCAGGCTGCGGACCAGTGCACCCCTGCAGGGTGTCCTTGGGTCAGAACCCCCTTTTCACCTGCCTCCACAAGCCCAGCTCTCACTGGAGGGACTTAGTGGTGTTTCAGGCCGACCAGATTCTCGACCCACCTCCTTAGGCGCCCTCGTCCTGACAGATGGCTGAGGCTGCTTAGGGGAAGGAAGGGTCACATGGATCGTTTATACTTTCAGTGATGGTGCAGCCTCCTCCATCCGAGGGAGCTGGCAGCCTTCCCGTCAGTCAGTGTGCTTTTAGGTCTGTGAATTGATTTAGCTTTAGACATTGAGTGAGAGATGGTGATTTTCCATTGCCATGGTTAATTTCAAACTTCAGCTTTCCAATACTTGTGCTCTTTTTAAAAATGATCCAAGCTAGGTCGCACCCTAGTTATCTGCCATCTCTCTCAACCCCAGAGCAGACCACGTGGACCTACTGGTCACCAGCACAGGTCTTTGCAGGTCCAGGAACTGTCATGGCCGTTTGGGCCCTGCTGTGCGTTACGGTCGCTTCATCTTCCTAGTGCAGCCGCCTCCCCTCAGCTAGCTCGGGACCCGACCATCCCAATGACGGCCGGCAGTCCGCTGGCAGCACCTTCCACTGGTCAGTCCTGGGGACGTGTCCCACCAGCTTCTCAGGGACGCCATGCCTCCCTCACCAGCTTGCTCCCCGTGATTTGTGAGGAGCCTCCTCTGAGTTCTCCTGGGGACAGAGCCTGGTGGTGGGGTCTCTGCTCCTTTCCAAAGTCCAGCCTCCCTGAGTTTTCCCAGTACTCCGCCCAGAAAATGGCCACCTCACCTGGTCCCCTGCAGGTCATTATCTGGTCCGCGCATCAGGAAGTTATTCCTGCGGGGAATTATAGGTGGGTTCCGGTGTCCTCGCCAGGACCCCACATCGTCGAGTGTGCTCCCCTACCAATATATTCTCCTCGCCATCCTCACACTCCCTGGAACCCAACAAAGGCAGCAGCGGGGGCACAGAGTGGAGCAGAGGAAGCAGTGACCCGCCAGACACAGAAGGTGAAGGATGGGAGACAGTGAGGATGGCATCCCGGGCCGTGGCTCGGGTGAGTGAGGAACAGGACAGAGAATGCAGGAAAAGCAGCAGGTCCCCACAGTAAGGTCTTGAATCCAGATTTGCATAAGTCGAGTGTGAGAAGCTTTACTGGATGGCTTCAAAATTATTTAATGTCTCTGGACCCTCCTGCCACTCAACTACAAAAGCCAGGCCCCAGGATCCCTGTCTGCATGAAGTTTCACTCAAAGGAGACAAAAATCCAACTACAGAAGCTTAGAAGAATTCTTTAGATCTTTCTTAACAGCTTTTCTTCAAGTCTTGATCCAGGAGTTTTCAGAGCTACACCCCCCAAACATTCCCAGAAATCCATTTTCTTAAAATCTATTTTTTTTAAGGCAGAGAGGTAGTTAGGTTTACTTATTAATTAATTAATTAATTAATTAATTTTTTACCTATTCATTTTTTTGATGGAGGTACTGGGGATTGAACCCAGGACCTCGTGCATTCTAGGCATGCACTCTACTGCTGA